ATGTCTTCTTTCTCCACTAGTGATGATGATAATAACGACAATGGTGAATATTATGGTGGTAATTACCTATATTTATTAAGTGACTATGTGGGATCACATATTACCATGAGCACTTTACATACATTTTCTTGCTTAATTCTCCTAATGCCCCATGAGGAGGTAGATAATTTCATCATTCCTTTTGTAGAGAGATAAGGCCATGAAAACTCAGAGAGCAAAAGTAATTTGACTAATATCACACAGTTGATAAGTTTAAAACCCTACTCTGTCTGACCCCAGATCCCACTTCCTCAACAACCCCCCTGCCATCTGCCTAAGCCAGACGCTATAGAAACCAAGCATGACCCTGTATGGTATTGAGTTGGCAGCAGGAGAGGCACTGAGGAAAGTGGGTGGGCCCAGCCTTACAGAAGGAGTTGACAGATTTGACACTGTAGGGGGGCAAGGAGACTAGAGAACAGTTTCTTCTCAGGGCTGACGGAGCAGAGGGGCAGCAGCACAGAGCTGGGGGTTGGACAGGCTGCCGTATGGAAGAAAACCTTCAACTGTCACATTCCACAGGAGTTGATCTGCAAGCACGTGGGAGAAATGGCTGACTTCCCTGGACCACAGGTTCCCCAATAAGACCAGGTGTGACCTGGCCCCACCATCTCTCCCTCTGATTCTGTCTCACTAGAAATGGTTATTTTAATGGAATTCCATCAATATATAATGGAACAGGCATTTTACAGGAGTTTCAGAGCCTAAGTCTGAATTATAGATACATCATGGCCACAGTAGGCAAGATTTGAACTCAAATCTTCTTGACAAGGACCACCCACACTGCCCCCACACCTTCCTCTGTCTCTCTCATACCCAGCTGTCACAGGGCACACACTGTATTAAGAACACAGACCTCGGGTTCCATGGTCCTGGAGGGGAAGCCCTGCTCTATCACTTTATAAACACTTGATCTGAAAGTCACTTATACTTCCTGAACCTCATTTTCTTTATCTGAAAAATGGGGATAATGTTATGACCCTCGAGGAGTATGGTAAAGGTCAAGACACATAATTAGAGTCGGATGGGCATGGGATAGAAAAAAAAATGCATGTCTAGAAATGACAAATATATGGAGACAGAAAGTAGACAAGAGATTACCTGGGGCTGAGGGGCAGGGCTGGAAAGAGAAGGGGGGAGAGTGTGTGGCTGAGGAGAAATGGGGAATGACCACTAACAGTTATGGAGTTTCTTTTTAATGTGATAAACATATTCTAAAAGGAATTGTGGTGATCATTGCACCATCCTGTGAACATATTAAGAACAATTACTTTAAATGCATGGCATGTGAGTTATAGCTAAAAAAAATGATTTTGAAAAATAAAGAAGCAGAGGCATAGCTTTCCAATTTCAGCATGGTTCATGTTCACTTTATGAGCGTATCAGTATTATAGAAATGTGCATTCATCCTATTAAATATGAACACAATAGGAATACACATGTAATCATATGTGTATGGAAATACAAACAATATGTGAATACATAGATATGGGTGGATTCAGTTTATCAAGTAGGAATTCTCCACTTGTGCAGAATGTTTCTAACTCTATAAATGATTGATGGTGGCATTTGGCAACATATTTGGCTCTTCCCTGATGACTCTATAAGTGGGAGGAGCAGGAATTGTTACTTACAATGGACAGATGAGGAAACTGAGGAATGGAGAGGTGCCAAAGAGCACAAAGCTAGCTCAGAGTGGTATCTGGATATAAATTAGGGCTTTTTATTTTTACTTTTTGGGGTTCATCCATAAACTCTCTCTTCCCTGAGCCACCATCTCCTTGCCTGCTCTCTTTCATTGGTGGCTACCTGAATCCTGCAAGCACCTTCCAAATTGACCCACAAAAGACTGCTATTGCTACTTTGAGCTCATGCATCCTGACATGAACAGAAAGGACTACAAAAGGAAAGCATATCTCCCTCTTTTTCACAGGCTTCTTTGGTCGCTATAATTACCCCCTAGTCACAAGCACTCTGAAGGAGAGGTCGGTTTCATGTAACAGCAGGCTAATTATGTGGCTGAATTTCTAAAAAAATATTATCTTATAAATTGTGTGATTCCTCTGAACAGGGAAGAAACACACCATGTACTTGACTATGTTTCAAACTGAATTAATTAGTAATTTGAAGCCTAATTATCAACTAATCTATTGGAACATGCAAGTCTTTTGTATTTGGATGGTATACACCATTTGCATCCTATTAACTGGCAGTTGTAAGAGTTGAGAACTCATTAGGTCAGAAGAAGAAAAATGCAGATCAGAAGTATGTAGCAACCCAAGGGGCTGACTCAAGGATGCCGTAACTGAGGGGTCATCAGGCAACAGATGGAGGCTGGCGATCTAATTACCTGGGGTCTTTCAGGAGCTATGAGGCCACTGATGTGTAATTTCTATCTCACCCAAAAGAGATAATTATGCATGCCCTTGTCATTGTTCTGTGTGTTCCCAAGCAGCATGATGTCTACAAAGTCTCACTGAGAGATATCCTGAGGTCTTGGGAAAAGCAGTGGCTGTGGCTGCTAATCTTGGTGCTAGATGCAGCTCTATTGTTGACCGGCTATGTGATACTATGGTACTGTAAGTTATGGCCCCTTGCAGGCTCTGTTTCCCTATAAGCAAAGTAGATTTAGATGGAGTTGATTTCCAAAGTCCCTTCTACATATCTGGAATTTGAGAGCTGTCAAGGGCTTTCCTTACTCTCAAGTCAAAAATTTCATTTTTTGTAATTGTTCTATTGGGTATGAGAATCTTGGTTCCCCAAGAGACTTTATGCAGTCACCACTTATTTAAAATGCAAATATCTGTGAGAAAGGTAATATATCTAGCCATTAACATCTGAGTCTAAATGAACCTACCTCAATAAACCCTTCTTACTTCCAGTCTTGAGCCTGAAATACTGGAATTGTCAAGGCAAGGAGATTTTGAAGGATAAAGAAGGGTAAAGCAAGAACTTATTAAAGGCAAAAGACCCACCAGAAAGAAGGGCACATTTTAAGATTGGGAAGGATGTCTGGGTTTCATTTTTTAGATCTATGCACTGGATCTTGTGCCTTAACTAACAACCTTTACTCCAAAAATAAGTACAAAATATCAATCTTTTGATCAATGGATAATTACTGCTTAGAGTAATAATAAGGTTAAATAATACAGAATGATACAAAATAACATACATGTATCAGTTAAGCTGGATTACAATGGAAAATTTACTATAGATAAAAAATTAACAATCACAACATAATGGAAACATGGGAAATTATGAAGATGGGCCAGTGTGACAAACTTTGTAGACAAACACTACCATTAAGGGAAACCCGATACAAGGCAAAGTTTGTTATTGATTAATATTCAAGTCTGGGGTTGTAGCTTAGTGGTAGAGTGTTTGCCTAGCAAGTATGAGGCCCTGGGTTCAATCCTCAGTACCACATAAAAATAAATAAATAAAATAAAGGTATTATTATAAAATATACTATAACAAAATAATGTTAAAAAAATTCAATGGGAACTGCAGCCACTTTGGAAAATAATGTTAGAGTTCCTTAAAATGTTAAATGTAACTAGATGTGGTGGTGCTTGCTTGAAGTTTCAGCAATTTGGGAGGTCAAGGGAAGGAGGATTGCAAGTTTGAGGTCAGCTAGGACAAAGTAGTGAGACTCTGTCTCACTAAAAAAAAAAAAAAAATTTAAAAATTGCCAATGCTGGAGATGTGGCTCAGTGGTAGAGTGTCTGTTGGTTCAAGTCTCAGTACCACAAAAGAAAAAAAAAAAACAGAACAAAGCCAAAATTAAATATAGAGTTTAGCACATAACTCAGACATTCCACTCCTTGGTAAAGTTTCAAGAGAAAAGCTAGTGCAATCATGTTCAAAGCAGCATTATTTACAATCAACCCAAATGTAAACCACCCAAGTGTTCATCAATTGTTAATAGGTGAGCAAAAATGGTATATCTACGTGATTGAATATTGTTTAACAATAAAATGCAGAGAGAGAGAGAGAATGCAAATCAGTGGTGGTTACACAGGGCTGGGGAGTTTGGAAGTGATGAACAGTGACTGCTTATGGATATGGGTTGTTGGGGTGGTGAAAGGTTTTAAGATAAGATCAGAGTGATAGTTTCATAACTGTGAATATATGAAAAACCATTACATGGTACAGTATAAATGAGTGAGTTGTTTGGCATGTGAATTACAACTTAATAAAACCTTTGAAAATAAGACTACATGAGAAACAAAATTACATTTGACTTTGAGAAAAAAAAGAGCTGCGGGAATCAAACTTCATGATAAAAACGGGTAGATGTGTCAGTTACGGCACCGGGAGAACGGACTTGACAAAGGAAACTCATAATGGCACATGGTGGCTGCTAGCTAAGACAGTGTGTACAGAAAATGATCCAGTAAACCAAGTGTTTGTGACATGGAGAATAATTACACTCAATAAAAAGAACTGCGGCACATCAAAATGAAAACAATTTTTTTAAAAGACAGGCTTATCTATGCCATATAGAAAAATGGATAAATATGAAATGGACATAATATCATTCATGCTGGAAGATGGTTTGGGGTTAAAGATTTGTCAGTATTAGCATCATTATGATTTAAATGTGTTGTGCTTATGAAAAGTAAAGCTGTCTTTGAGTTCAAAACAGAGGGCCCAAAGCATGGAGACAGCTCATATCCATTCAAAGATGTGATGACTTTGTCCTTATTATTGAGGGCCAGAGCGGATGAAAGAGGGACTTGTGAGCACAGTAACTGTCTCTCAAGGACAGTCAGAAGTATGCTGTGGTTTAGAAGCAGGATCCAGAGGAAAAAGGTAAATTTGGCAATGCTAAGGCTTAGTATTGAACTCTGAGCTGCCCCTTCCACCCAGACAGTTTACACCAGGCAGGGGCCACAGAAGCCAACTAGGAACCCAAATGCAAAAAGGCCTGAGCTCATGGCTTGCCAGGCTCTACTCACCAGATTTGCCAGGATGTAGTGGTAGCCAATGCCGTTCTTCTCTAGCTTTATTATCTACAAAACACAATAGGAAGGGCCTCATCAGACATACTAATTGTTAAAGCTACAATAACAGTAATAACAGCACTAGTAACAGACATTGAGTATTTACAATGTGCTCTTCCAAGTACACAAACTGTGATATGCCAACCATCCAACGATGGTGACATTGTTAGTATCCTTATTTTGCAGATGAGGAATAACAATAGACTGGTTGATTAAGCTCCTTAAAGTTGTTCAGCTATTAAGAGGCAAATGTAGGATTTGAAATCATTTGTTTTTCTAATTCCAGGTACAGAGTGGCATTACTGGAACCCTAGGGAGCTCACTGCACTCCTTCCATAAAGCCTTCCATGCACATGGAGATTGTCCATCCTGTAGGTGGGGATATTATGTTGTATGGAATCCCCTGTCACTGTCATGAGAGTGTTTGCTGCTTGGATGGTCCCATGGATGGGTAGATAATTCTGTGTTCTTTACCTTCAACATTTTGCATTGACCATATGCAGATGCCCTTCTCTCTTTCCCTGAATTTTGTGCTTTCCTTCCTAAGCCAGTTGGGTACTCAGACATTAATAGGACACTCACCTTGGAAGCTAGAAAGGATCATCTGGTCCTAACCCTTACTGGACAGATGGAAAGAGGAGTGATCTGCACAGACCCCATTATAGTCTGGTAGCAATGTCAGGACAGGTGCTGGACTTGTGAACCTTTCTGTATGATCCCTGACTACTGTCAATCATTAAGAGCCAGGATCCTCTAACACTTTACTGATCCCCTAACACTGGCTGTCCCTCATCACTGCAGGCAAGAAAAAAAATATTTATGGAAAGAACTACCCAGATATCTACTTGGGTAGCCAGTCACACCACCCAACAAGGACAAGCTGACTGCAGGCTTTGGCTCTGGCCCTTGCTGGCCTGGAAATTAACTTGATCTATTTCTTTCTTTTTTCTTTAATCATCATATTGGGGTTAGCCTACCCTGCTCAGTGCCTTTCCCCCTGCATGGTTGCAGGGAGACATAAAACATACGAGAAGCACTCAGGCTGCTTCTCTGACTGAATAAATTTTCAAGGTTATTAAAGTCCACATTCAGACATCTACTTAATTGGATGTATGTGCACAGTGGCTCACTTTTTTTTTTATGTGGGGGATAATTAAATGCAAGCACACACAATGAATGCTCTCAAACGGTGGTGAGGTTGTGAAATTGCAGACCACAGAGCTCAAAGACTATTGGGATGATAGTTTTATTAATCATTCTTCATTACTTTTTTATCTGCTTGTCAAATGCTTTGCTGCCCCTTCGACAATGAGATACCGTTATCAAAAAACCTATTCAACTTTTAATAAACCCAGAATAACAAATAAATGATGTTTCAGAAAGTATAGTTCTTGCAAGATGAAAGTTCAGATGGATGCATAGGAAAAAACAAATGATGACTTTTGACTAATAAAAATTAGTGATTTTTGTGTAGTCCTACCTCATACTGACATTTGGGTCCATTTTTTCACTACCTATCTGTTGACCTGCTTTCCCTCCTTCACTAACTTCATTTAACAAATATTAATTAATTGTTTACTATGCGTGAAGCACCCTGCTGGCAATACCATGGGTGCTGGGGGAAACTAGCATACAGCCTCCCCTGCAAGAGGCTACGCCCAACTGGGAGGGGATCCATCATAAACAGACAAGCAGATAAATGCACAAACGGTTACAAACAGAGAAAGTGTTATAAATGAGATGTGCAATTCCACCTCACCTCAATGACCTCATTGACTCAAATTTCATTTCTGCGATATCACCTGCTTTCACCATCTTTGCATGGGAATGGCCTTGTCTCCTCTCTTTGATTATTTATTTTTTATGGCGAAGCTTTCATCTCAACTCCTCTGTAAAGTCTTCTATGACTAATTAATCTGTTCAATGAATGTTTATTGAACATAGACTAGATGCCAGGCATTATACAATGTGTTATGTTATGCACTTAAGAACAAATAAAGCAAGGTCCTCATGACCTCATTGAGCCGAGTTGCCGTTTTAGTAGGGAGCCAGATGGTAAATATATAAATAGAGAAATGAATGCGATTTCAGCAGGTGAGACACACCATGAAGACAATAAAACAGGGCGATGTGATGAATAGCACCCAAGTGGTTCTCTTCTACTGTCTCCTCTTATTCCTTCTATACTTAATGACTGCATTATATAATTCAGTGTCTTATTTATTGATAAGGCATAACATTCTAACAACGCTATTTTTTTGTTCATAAACCTTCACTGACTTCCCACTGTTTATACAACAAACCTCTATCTCTTTAGAACGGTTCCCAAGGATATTCACTCCTGTGCTGTGCTACCTGCAGTCATCTCTAGTACATACCCAGCATCCTTCGCTCAGCCTGCTAACCGTGCTGTGAAGCTGGGTCTTCACCTGCCCTCTGGGCCTCCCAACTCAGCCTTTCCTTCACCTACAGGCTCTTATTTGGCCTATGGCCACCTGGAGAAATCCAGACACAGTTCACACTTGAGATTTTTCTTAGAGCCTTCATCAATTTCTTTTTCTTTCAATTCACTCAAAACACAGTTATTGAATACTTAAGGAAGCCCTGTTCAAGGAACTATGGATACAGAAGAAAAGAAAAATTTTTTTAAAAAATCCCTGTCTTCATAGAGCTTACATTATAGCTGGGGGGCTGGAGAGAGAAGCCCACAATTAATTCTCTATTTGAAATTTAAAATCACTACCTCCTTTTGGGCAGGCAGAACATTTTATGTTAGACCGAGAAGACTTTCGTTACTGAATGTGAGATCATCTTGGATGGTACCAACAGTGTCAGCTTGCAAATCAGAGGTGTAAGTTGTAGACTGAGCACTATCACTAAGAACTCGTCTGAGCCCAAGGCAAATCATTCAATTTGAACATCGTCACCTCACTGGTAAAATGTGAGCATAAGCAATCAATCAAGTGATCTGTAAGATTCTTTTAAATCTTCGGTGTTACTTTTCAGAAGTGAAGAATGAAATGATTAGAAAAGAGTATAAATAAACTACAATCTAAATCACGCTTACAAACAATTCACTACCTTATAAAAAACAAATTAGCCCTTTGACAGAGGAGGTAGCTATAGATGTAGAGGCAGAAGAATTGTATTTTTGAGAGGTTGGGCCCCCCCAGAGCCAAACACAGCTGGATTTGACTTCCTGCTTTTCTTATATGTCAGCAGTGAGACCTCAGGCAAGTATAATCCCTCTTTTCTTCATCTATAAAAATATGTCATTTTTTAGGGGCTGTTTCATAGAGTTGGTGTGAGTGGGAATGTGATTGTGCCTGGAAAGGGTATGAGATAGTGTGTGGTGTACTGTCAGCCCTCAAGACACAGCAGCATAAAGGAAAAGTCATCCCTCTGTTAAGGACACCACTTGTTATTCATTGCATTCTCCGTCTCCTATCTCATTTCAGTTTTTTATATCAGTTTTGTGGAGCAGGGTCCTTCATTTCTATTTTGCAGATAGATTGGTTCATTTTCAAAGACGGAAGTGACTCAAGAAGCCAGCACTCATTGACCCTCTGCCTAGTGAAAATCAGCAAATGTTTACATGTATAACTTCCTAGTGGGGGCTGACTCTTTTGTAAGTACTTCACATGAACCGATTTGATGCTGTTATTCCTCGTGAGTCTTCTAAAAGTGGTTGTTATCAGTATTCCCAACTTATAGTGTGGGAACTCGAGAGGTAGAAAGATTAACAACCTGGCCCAAGGTCACAAAGCTAGTTAGCACTGGAGCTGGGATTTGGACCCCGTCTGGTCTGTTTCCAGAGTTTTTGTTTCTAATCATCATCATGTATGGCTTCACTTAAATACTAGACTCAAATCCCTGATTCCAGCCCAGAGGACTATGTATCTCAATAGAAATATTTTTTGCTGATTTCTCTTTTCAAGAGCGAAAGTCAAATCCACACTTGATAAAGTAGAACACACAGAGTTAATGCCTTCAAGAATTCATAACTTTCAGACTCTCTCCTTGTTCTGTTGCTGAGGCTTCTGCTGAGTTGGTGCTGAGATTCCCTGTGGGGGGCCCCTGGGGTCTTGAGGGCCATTAAGGAGCCTTGTCATGTTATCAAGTATCTAAAGTTACCAACTTCTATTATATGGCTCTGTTCAAAAATGATTGCAAATCTTCTTCCTTGCTAACTCCTCAGAATTCACAAATATAGTTTGGAAAGACAAGCCATCTCCACAAAGGCCTACTAAGTCCGTGGAAGGCACGTGCTTTAAGTTCTGAGACCAGAGGAATTACAGTTTGGAATTACAGTTTGCTGTCTAAAAACCACTGAGGTCACAGTGCCTATTCATAGAATACACAGTTGATTTCTCAGAGGCAAGACCACGTGCAAGGAGACAGGAGAGAGGAGGCTGCTGCTTCCTTAGACTCTTAAAAACAGGTCAGTGGGCCAAAGCGATGAGATACCAAATGCCGGATCAGTGAGAGACACAGCCTGGGGCTGAATGCAGGAAGCTAGCTGGCTCTGCCGCCCGTGCTCCTGATGTGATATGGCACTTAGTGAGCTGTAAATGCAGTGTAGTTTATTTTTTAACAGTAAAGGGAAACACTGGAGGTAAAATTTTGGTCCATCCATCTGAGAATCATTTGAAGCTTGGTATCAAGGTTCTCATTGTTTATGCTACTTCAAGGAATTTCAGAACTGAATTTTATGAATTTTACAGAATGTGAAATGGAAGGCATCTAATCTCATCTCTAAGAACTCTCCTTTAGCCGTCTTTAGTCTTTATAACACCCACGGCAAAAGTGCGTCGCCTGGCTGTCCCTGGATCATCTCCAGTCCCTGCCCCAGTCCCCGCTCTCTCCCCTACCTGGCCCAGGATGGCATTGAGGCGCTCGGATTCACAGTCCACCACCACCAGACGCTCCTTTTTCTTCTCTAGATCCTGAAAGAGCATCCGGTATCCTTCCTCTGTGGTTGTCAAAATGTTGACTGCTGTCACCTGCCAGTTCTTCTCTGCGGCCGTGTCCAGGACTTTCTGCAGGACGGATAAACCTAGAGGTGGGACAGGTAGCACAGAGAAGTGGCTGTCAGCATTGCAAGGTACCACCCCACTTCCACCAGGCACTCTCCTTTTTCTACCCTCAACCCCACGGCTCTGCCAAGCTCAGCTCCAGCTTTCTTTTACTGTGCAAGGCTGGATTTCATGAGCACAGGCACTGGGTCTCCTATGTTTCTATTCCCAGGCCACACTAAACAGTAGAGTTAACGAGTAGAAACAATCCGAGGTTCAAATCCAACATATCAAGTATATGATTTTATACAGGTTCATTTGCCTCAGCAAACTTTAGTTTCTTCAAAAGTAAAATGAATCTTTATATCTTTAAGGGTTTTATACATGTTAGCTGTTATTTTATTGGGGCATTCGGTAAATGTTTACTAAATGAACCAACCTGGCATCTAAAGAGACACCTAAGAACTGTTGATCAAACTTGTGGATGTTTGATGTGCCCTCAATATATCACTAACACTTTGTCACCCAGTAGGTGGTCAATAAATATGCACTGAATTTAACTACTCTTTTCTGATTCAGTTAAATGAGAGGAAGAAGCCTGTTCCTCAATACCGTTGAGTTCCATCTTTGAGACTGAGATGGTGTATTAGTTTCTAATTGCTGCTGTAACAAAATTACCACAAGCTTTGTGGCTTAACACAACACAAATTTATCATCTTATACTTCTGGATGTCAGATGCTGGAGATGGGTATCCTTATGCTAAAATGACGGTGTTGGCTTTCTGAAGGTTCTAGGGCAGAAATTGTTTTCTTGCCTTTCCAGCTTCTAGAAGCTGCCTGCATCCTTTGGCTTCATCTCTGAAGCCAGTAATGGTGACCAGGACTTTCTCCCATCACTCTGACACTGACTCTCCTGTCTCTTACTTTCACAGTTAAGGAACTTTGTGATTTCACTGTGTCCATCCAAGAACCCAGGAAAAGCTCCTTATTAAAAGGTCAGTTAATTTCATCTATAAACTTAATTCTCCTTTGCCACATAACAAAAACATACATTCAGGTTCAGGGATGAGGAAATGAATATCTTTTCAAGAAGGTAATTATTCTGCCTATCCCATTTGCTCTTGCACTATTAATCTTTTGTATGTATCTTATATCCAACTCCCAGTAACACTGCTAATCCCTTCTGTACTGACCAATATGGTGCCTGACCTCAAAATCATCTATAGATTGATTCTGTTACACCTTCAGTACATGTTGTAGAGTGTGTTTGAGCCTCATGTGTCCTGAAAATCTCCTATGTGTTTGGCATTATTCTACTAGCTTTCTGTACTTCAAATCACTGAATTTTGTGAGGTAGGCTCTATTCTAATATCATTTTACAGATGTGGAAATTGAGGCTCAGAGAGAACTTGTCATTTGTCTAAGGTCACACAGCAAAAGTTGGGGTCCTCTGTTGATTCTCAAGATGCTCCCCTATAAGCAAAGTTCATTTATTTGTCAGCTTCGCCATTTCAGGTCTCAGCTCTATTATGCTGTAAAACTGTCCTGAAAGAGACCATCCCCAAGTGACTCCCATGATGACTACTGTCTAAGAAGTGAGATCATCAAAATGGGAAGAAAAAAGGGATTTTTTTAAAAATATTCGATGCTTTTGGTCTCTTTCTCTGCTGGCTCCTTCCCTTCTTAATAACAGCTGCCTAACTGCCTGCAAAACCATTTGCACAAGCTGCTGTCCTCCTCAAAAGCCTCCTAAGACTTCACACAGGCAAACACGTCAGGGCCCTGGGCCTTGCCTCTGCTTCCAAGCCTGGCATCTCCATGTGCCTGTTTAGACCAATGACGATTCTGCTCTCATGGACCAGCCAGTGTGCAGGGGCGGGCAGCACCCAGGCCAGAGCAAAGAAAAGAGATCCCACTCAGAAGCCCAGGGACTAGAGAAAGTGGGGTTTGAGCATGCTGTAAAAGAGGGGAGGGATTTACTAGGTAGATGTGAGAAGGAAGTGCGTTCCAGACAGGGAGTAGCATGAGCAAAGGCATGGGGAAGAAAATGTAGAAGACACTGATTTGGAAAGTGTGATGTAAAATTCAAAGGAGGCAGAAATTACAAAGCTCTGAGAGGGATGATGATGATGATGATGATGATGATGATAGAAGGTAAAATATATGGAGATTTTTGAGAATTTATCAGGTCATAGGCACCAAACAAGCGCTTCCTAGTCATTATCTCATTTGCACGTTTATGAAGCAGAGACCTTTTGCCTTTATTATAGAGATGAGGCAATGAGACAGAGAATTTTATCCACATTATGTAGTCTTAAAACTAAGGCACAGAGGGGAGAGAACCCAGGAGTCTGGTGAGCAACAGAGGGACTGGTGTGTTAAGAGGATTACTCTCCCAAAGAGTGTGTTTCCACAATGTGGGTTAGAGATTAGCTACTGATACACCCGTCCACAGAAGGAAAGCATTTTGGATCATGTCCATGTGTTTTTCAAGGGGACAGGGTGGCGTTATTCTTACTCTAGCTGATCATTTTCTCTCCATCGCTTAACAGCCTCCTTCCCTAATCCTTGGCTTACCCCGGTCGGCATCATAAATGTAGACAAATTTCTGCCACTTGTAATGGTCAATGATGCTGATGAGGGCATCCTGCAGTTCAGGGCGCAGCTGGAGGACAAACTGATTGGATGTGTCCACAGGAAAGCTCGGCGTAATGAAGCACACGTGGAGGGCCCCGCAAAAGGAGGTTAACATATTGACAGTCCTTCGTTCATAGAACCCAAAGATGGCGTAGACTCCTTTGGAGAACTGGGAACAGACTAGAAGAGAAAGAGAGAAGGATTAATGGATGGATAGGAGATGCTGTAAACCAGTTGTCAGAGAGCTGAAAAACAAATCCATCCAACCCATCACCTGTCTACCATCTATTATCTAGCCATCCACCCATCCATCAAACCAATCCATCCACCCATGCCCGAAATACACCAATCTATTCACCTGTCCATCTCTCCCTCCTGTTCACCCATTCATCTGTCTAATCTCCCAGCCATCTGTCTAAATCCAGTGCCTATTACGTGCTGGATGTTATCATGGTTACTAACTATAGTAATCATGTATACGAAGTGTTTTATTTACTATGTCATCTCACTTTGTCACTATAATGGCCCTGTTAATGCAAGAAAGGGATGATTGGGTCATGTTTTTAAAGGGGGAAACCAAGGATCAGAAAGCTAATGGTTACATTCAAGTAGCACATCTAGTGCAAATCTGAGTCGGGCAGATCTCTTGACTCTTCATGCAGCAATCTTTACATTTTCATTGATCGTCACTACCAGGCAAAATATTTAAAGAAAAAGGCTGTAGGAAGAAGGAATCTCTCCTGGCTGTTGCTGTTGATAGATGTTTAAGGAGACAAGTGTTGATTTTCCCAGCCTGGCCTGTGGCTCTCCGTGTACACTTCTCTGTTGATCTCATTTGGTGTTTGTACTCCTGTTGGCTGATTTTCAGGCCCCCCAGTGTCTCAGACATAGAAATAGCTTAGCTGTGTGAACATCCCCCCAGGATCCACTTTGTAGGATCCCAGCACGGTTACCAGTCCTGGTTTGTGGTTAATGACATTGCTGGTTAGAATATAATGCTAATAAGACCAAGGGCCCGGGATTGAACTCTCGTCAGTCAGTTCCTAAACCCGATTTTACTATCTGATATGGGATAGAGTTCACAGTCTTTGCCCCTATAAGGGGACCAAACCAAAAGTTATCCCCAGTGCCTGAAAATTACCCTCCCAATGTGAATAGTGAGGAACATCAGCTTCTTCATCACAATAAGAGTATTCTGCACTCCTTTCACATATATTGGGCTTTTAACCCTCATTACAACCTTATAACTTGGATATTATCAGGTATTATTTTTTCTTTTAAGATAAAAAGTTAATGCTCTTAGATCCTTTGTTTCCTACCACATCACCTGCTCATGACACAATATGACCTTTAACATGGGGTCTCCAAGACGTGTCCCATGAAACATTAGTTCCACAAGACGAGAATCTCTGAACAAGAAAAGTCTTGTTTGGTCAAATAAATTGGGAAATATTGTGGCCCTGTCCCTCTGTCTTGGAGTTTCATATGCACACTAGCTACATAAAGGATTGTGAGGTGTTCTGTTCAACTTTAATCTAGAGTTTACCAAATTGATTTGCCTCTAGGATCTCTTTTTGGCTCATACTTTTAGTGAGGTTTTGAAGATCCTTTGGGTCATGTTGCGATAAAGAATGCAGTTAGCCTTGGGGCCAAATGGTCTTTTGTGAGTTCTCAGTAAGTCCCTACAGATAGTGGACTTGAAAGATCAATGTTTCTTAAGAGATGCCAACTCAGCCACCTGAGTCATCTGTCCAACTCCTACTGAAAATGAGCATGCATGCCATTTACAGGAAACCAGCAGCCATCAGTAACATCTGCTTGCATACTTCCAGTTTCTGGGGACTCACTACCTCTTCAGGTGCCTGGCCACTGACAGACTGCTCTTTGAAGCCACAACCTCACAGAATACTTGCTTTTAATCCAATCTATAGCTCTCCTGATATGTGAAGGTATATTCATGGCCTCAAGCTTTATGATATTTGATATTTAGCAATGAGATCCATTCTCCACCTAGAAACATTAATTAAAACAAAACAAAATACATTGTTTCACTTCCTTATGCAAAATCTCAAAGAGTTTTGATATTTCTCATTGCACAGGGGGAAAAAACAATCCTCATATATCTGACCATGATATGCAGCTTGAATAACTTATCCCACTGAACTTTCCTACATTACACATCCTTCTTCTGTTGCCTGCTCTGTCCACATGGCCTCTACTCTCTTCTTCTGGGGGGTCTGAGTTCGTTCTGCCAAGACACTGTGCATGCTGTTCCCTTCCTGCCTGCAATGCTGTTCCCCAATCTCCTTGCAGAGACCACACCTTTGCAGCAATTGTACCTCAGCTCTTGTCTCACTTCCTTGAATAGCCCTTCCTTCATCACCTCTTCAAAACAGTGAGCTGATCTTCCTTCCCTCACCCCTCACTACTATTTGTCTCCATCATATCACTTTGTCTTATTTCCCATACTTTAATCATTATTATCTAAAATATTTTTCTGAGTTTACATATATATATCTCTATCATCTATCTATCTGTGGTGGCTTGGGCAAATGCAAATTCCCTGAAAATAAGGATCTTGCTTGTGCCCCAAGGCTGGTGTCGTGCACTGGGAAAATGGTATGTGCTTAATATAATGTTTGAAGAATAAATGAATGATGAATTCTTGATGAGAAGGTCACATGACCCCAGTGGCTGATGGAAAAGTTGGACTCACACAGAGGAGACTGTTGGGGCCTCTGGACTCCCTTCTCCTGGTCTGGGTAGCTTTCTTCTAAGGTAGCTATGTATCCTCTACCCCTCACACTGATTTCTCCTTCACCATAAAGAGGGCACTGCTCGCAATCCACAGTAGGTGCTATCTTTAAATGTCTATTGTAATTACTAGAATCAAGATTTCCATAAATATGGATTCTGTACCAGGAAACAAGTCCTGTATATTATCCTCCCATGTTAAATATAGACTTTTTTAAATGCACCATCCATCTTACAGGGGTAAGTGGGCACAGGGAGACCATAAACCCTTTTAAAATATCATACCCTGTGCATGGTATTTTAGGATCCCTTCTCTGCCTTTGCTGCAGCAAAATATCGTCCTGTGGGATATAAGCCTGATGTTCCAGATCTGTCCCCTCATGTCACCTACTTGTCTTCAAATGAGGCCTCTGGGGCCCGCCTGGCTGGTGATTCTTGCTAGGACTTTATAAGTAGAGGAGGAAAAGGTGGGACGAGGGTGGAAGAAACAGGAGCAGACAGACATGATCACATCTTCAGACACACAGAAGGAAAGGATTTTATTATATATTGTTTCATCTCATATCATCTCCCTGTTTTTCCCTTCTACAAATCTCTTTTCTGCTTTGTCCTTTTTAAGCTAAGGTGAATTTTCCTGCTTCTCCCTAAAAGAGCATGGCTTGGGGCTAACCTGACCTGGATTTGCACCTGAGTAGGTCCTGGCTCCCAGAGTTTCTGAGCATTTGACCTTCAAGCTGTCTCCTCATTTCAGCTGAGAGAGAGAGAGAGAGAGAGAGAGACTCTGCAAGCCCAAGGCCCAAGCACAGTCTTTAGGTAAGGGTTGGGAAATACAATTACCATTTGTCAGGCACTTCATTGAATGTGTCGTAATAAATATGCAATCAGAAAAGATAACATGGTACTGTAGGAAAAAAGTACTAGACTAGATGTCGGGAGTCCTGGAGGATTCTCCTTTTGTCTTAATCACTGCAGAGCAAATCCCCGCACTCTCCTGGGATTCTTTTCATCTGAAAAACAAAGGTTTAGACTCCTGCAACTTTTGACACCCTCCAGGCTCCAACAGTCTAGAGTCTAGCCTAATTGACTGGAAAATGTTTACTGATTCAACAGCATTTTAGCTATTTGCTGGCCCAACTTTTAGCAACCTCAGGTGCACTTTTTCCATTGTAAAAAGTAATGAAGGCTCTGAGCTGTTGGATTCTGTTGTGACAAAAATCCTAGCACGAAATCTAGATGGGTTTTATTTATGGTACGGTTCCCAACCAGCCATGTGAACTTAGTTACTTAGTACAGAGGAGTCAAAATGAGGCACATCAGAAAGGGAACCAGGGGTGGAGAATGCATGGTCCGACAGGGCAAGTAGTGGAGGAAGAAGTGGGAATGTTCAAGAGCAGAACCAGAACCCTGTGGTGTACTGGCCAAGTCACGGTATCCTCATGTTGAGGCTGGTTCACCGTAGGCTAAACCACGTGTGGGATCCTCTGCTTAGGAAGGCAGTGGTGTCTCCAGCATCTTCTGACAGGTGCTATAGGAGCTGATATCGAGCAAGGAGTGCCACAGGTGGTGCATGGATGTTTGCTTTTGTTAACTCTGCCCATCCCATGATGCTGGTTACAAACTGGGGAAACAAGACCCAGGACGGGCAAAGCAAAGCCAAAATCTGAACACCACCATGCCAGCTGTGGAACTTGAACTTTGATGTGGGTGATACTTTGCCTTCTCCTTCCACAAGGCTGGAGGGAAGCAGTCTCTGCTCTGGTTTCTGGAAAACCCTCTCATGTAGCTTGCTGCTTCCTCCGCTGCCAGTTAAAGAGGCATCGCCACATCACGATCCATGAGGTGCACATATTAAAACCAACAAATAAACGAACCTGGTTGAGGTCTGATGTCTCCCTCCTTCCCTGGGAAGAGCTCATATATACACATCTATCTTTTCCTTTGTTTACCTATGAGTCCATGAACCCATTCCACTACCACTCCATACCCAGCACCTAACTAGGTCAGACACTGTGTCAGACAAAGGGGGATGCATTGGTGAAGCAGGCAAGGCCCGACCTCAAGAACTGTCACCTTGACAGCGGGAGATACTAACAACCATCCTGATGAGTGGAATTCAGTCCAAGTTCCTTAGCAGGGATCAGTTCTGGGTTCAGACAGGACACCTAGCCATAGCCTTTGGGGACCTCAAAGAAGGCTTCCAAGAGGAAGGACCAGCTTCAACAGGAGCTAGCTAAGCAGGAGCCAGTCAGGAGAGGGTGTTGAGTGCAGTTACTGGCTCATGAAAAGAAGTCCAGGGATAAGGAACGGCGATAGCAAAGAGCTGGTAGAGAAAGGAAAAAAAAAAAAAAAGATGCACATATTCAGGGAATCCTGCCAGAGTGTCAGGTCCCAAGGTCCCTGCCTCCAAGAGATTCTGTAGCAGAATG